AAGCAGTGGTATCAACGCAGAGTACTGTTTCTAAATCTGCAAATAATACTTCAATCTTTTCCTTGTTTGGAACTGCCTTATCTGTCACAATCCCCAAAGCATGAAGACGATTCATATCCACATTCTCAGTATCAGTGAAAAACTCTTCAAATCCCTTTTCTCCTGAAGTATTTGAAGCAGAAAAATGAACTGGATACTGCTTGCTTCCATTATGCAGCTGCTCAGCTTTTTCTATAGCTTCCTCATCTGATTCACACTCTAATACTTCATAGCCATGCTCATGCAATAACTCTGTAGCAATCTTATCAAAAGTCATCATCTGTGCTTCTTCAAGCTTAGGAAAGAATATTTCACGATTATTTCCCAGCATACAAGCCAACATGCATATCTGACCACTTTCCTCTGGCGATACAAAATAACGCTTAATATCAGATGGAGCACTCAACGGCTGTAACTTAGCAATACGAGCTAAAAAACCAGCTGGTAATGAACCATTTGAAAATGCCACATTAGCAAAACGCGCAGTCTTAACAGGAAAATACTCCGAATATGAGAAAATAACATCCTCCATGATACGCTTACTAGCCCCCATGATGTTCACAGGATTAGCAGCCTTATCAGTAGACACACAGAAATACTCCTCTGGCGGAAATTTCTTTAATAAGTCAAGCAGCTTCTTGGCATGAAGAACATTATTCTGAATTAAGGCCTCCACAGAATATATATCCTTCTCACTGCGAACATGCTTGTGCGCTGAAAAGTTAGCAACAATATCAAAACCGCCATACTTTACAAACATTTTCTTAAAGACTGGAGATGCAAAATCCATCGGATAGGTAATATAATCCTCTGGTACATACATTCCCTTGGTAGAGCGAAGGTCACGAGTCAGCTCCGCAAGAGCATTTTCGTTAGTATCCACTACAACTAATGTCTGTGGTTTAAATGGCAGGATAGCTCGAATGAAGGAACTGCCGATACTACCGGCACCACCAATCACCAAAACAGTTTTATTTTGTATCTTTTTTTTAAGCTGTTCAGTATTACGATATATATCTTTTAAAAACATACTTTGATTTCGCTTTGTTACATAAGTACCTATGAACTTATTTAGATTAAACATTTTTCACCTCAATAACTTTCTTTTATTATGCAAGCTATTTATAATTAAATTAATTACCTCCTTGTTAACTACTATTATGGTACAGAAAATTAAACTCTGTATAAGATACATATATATCTTGTTACCTAAAATAATACACATAGAAGCTTGAATAACTAATAAAATATAAGTAGCGACATTTCTATTTAAATTTATATCTAAATTAATATATTTGCAAGCATAGTAAAATCTAATCCACCATACTACGAAAAATGATATCATAGTTGATATAGCTGCTCCAATCGGACCTATATATTTCAGTGTTATAACATTAAGTACAACATTTACCACAGCACCTATCATTGTCGATTTTACAAATGGTAATGCTTTCTTTTCTGCACTAAATATACCACCCAAATATCCTGACATCGCCCCCATCACACTAGATATTAGCAAATAAGGAACGTATTTCCATGCATAGAAATAGTCACCATAAAATAATAAACTAGAAATAGGAATATCTACAACAATAAGCAAGCTACATATAATAGCTAATAAGCCATTCATCGATTCATATGATTTTGAAAAAAATCCGTCCTCATCCTCTCTATTATAATTTTTTACTGCTGAAATTCCCCATGCTTGATTAAATATACCAGCGAACATATTTATTACTGTTGGAATTTTATATGCCACAGAATAAATACCATTAATTGATACATCAAAAAAATAAATTATCAAATATCGATCTGAAGCACTATTAATCCACCAACACAACACATTAGATATTTGTGGTACACAGTACTTTAACATATTCATTTCATTTCTTGTATCTATAGGTAAATCATTAATAAGATACTTTTTTATATCCAAACAAATAAAAAGATATAAACATTGTAATGAAGAACCTATTACTGTTGACATCAAAAAACCATTAATTCCCAAATGTAACACCAATAATAATAGAATATTTAATATACAAGTTGTAAATGTTGCTAATATACCTGATACAGCTATACACTTTGTCCTTTGGAATCCCAATCCGATACTTGTAAGTATGCTGTTATTTACCATAAGAAAAAATATAATCAATCCAAATATGCTATATTGATACAGTATATCACTGAACATAATAAAACTATTCACTACGAGTACTATACAACATATTATTAAACTATATATAATATATTTATATGTAGACTTTATTATGCTATCAACATTACTTTTTTCATCCAACAAAAACCTTTGCGTTGATGCTTCAATATTAAGAGTAAAAATAGGTGCCACTAGCCCTATAGTAATAAATATAAAATCTACAGATCCATAGTCTTCTGTAGTTAAAACATATGTATAAAATGGCACTAAAAAAAATGATAAAATTTTAGATGTAAACTGACCTATAGATAATATACCTATATTTTTTAATAAATAAACATATTTATTCAAAACATCACCCTTTAGATTTTAAAACTGATTTTATTTTATTCATTATATTGTCAATCTCATCTTCATTCATATGATTTTTTTCTATCATTCGTTGTGTATATCTTAAATCTTCCATATCTAAATCCTTTCCATTTTTTAACTTTCTATAAATACTTTTAACTATACCTTCCGCATACTTGTTATTTAAACAAAGTTTTTTAATCACTCCATTAATACGTTTTTTTATAATCTGCTTTGACGTTATCTCATCACAATCAACTTCAATATCTTGTTTTTCTCCTGAATATATTCGCTCTAGACTATTTGCTATTTTTACATATGCTGGCTCATTTTCATCAATATAGTAATAACCACTTATAATATCTTCTGAAATCGGAAAATCAGAATCAGATAAATATTCATCATCAAATTGTTTAAAAGTAGTAGTTAGTAAAGCCTCATTACAATATTCTAATTCCATATTATGTGGAATTTCAATTGGACGTAATATAGTACACCCCTTTTTGGCTGCATATATTTCTGCTAATGAAGTACTCCACCACGAATATATTTTATCTGCAACAATTATCCATTGCTTTATGTTATAATCTGATATTACTAGGAAATTATCATATACTGATGACATTTTTCTAAGTCGTTCTTCACCATACTCCGCTGGATGTGGTCTATATATAATAACAATATCTTTGTGTTTTTTTACTTCTAATTCAAACCAATCTAAAATCTTATTTTGTGAATCTACAGAAATTTGCTGAAATCTATTCACATCAATTGCTGTACCATTTTGATACATTTCACTATCTATTAAAGATTTAGGTAAACCTACATAACTAAAAGAAGAAATAAATAGATATAACTTTTTTTCAACGGAAATATTATATAACTTCATTATGGTACTTTTATTCTTGTAATACGCACTAAATTCAGGTCGCATATAATCTAATGCAATAGAGCCAGACAAACATATATTATCTTTTTTTACATTATATTTTTCATTCAAACGTATAAAAGATTTATTTCCCCATGCCACATGTATTGCATTTACTGCTTTACCAACAACACCTACATAGGTACTTTTTAAACATTCATCCTCCCGGTTATCTGCATTAGTGAATACCTGCTCCCAACACATATTAAGTATTTTTTTAGTATTCTTACTATATAAATTAATAAACCTAATCAAATCGTCATTATATAAAGCAAAGGCAATTACCACCTCACCTTGTACAGGTTCCCTGTAAGTAAAAACATTGTCCCATGTTTCTACAAATTTAACAGTATATCCACGTCTTTCAAGTTCATAGCGTAACAAGCAAATTGATTCTAACTCTCTATTTTTTACCTCATATACAAATACAAAATCGTATACTTTCATTATAGCAGCACAACCTTTTCATAATTTGATAATTTATTATGTATTTATCTACATTAATCCTTTCAGAAATCTTTTCGCCAAACCATTTTATTAACTATATTTGTATAGCTCTGTATAATTTTTACAACTTTATCTGAAACATTTTCATCAGTATACGTAGGTACAGGTATCCCATTATCACCATTATTATTCATTTCAACTGCTAAATCTACAGCTTGCAACAATCCTTTTTCATCAATTCCTGATAATATAAATCCTGCTTTATCCAACGCCTCTGGTCGCTCTGTACTTGTACGAATACATACTGCTGGAAAGGAATGACCTACTGATGTAAAAAAACTGCTTTCTTCTGGCAGAGTACCGCTATCACTTACAACACAAAATGCATTCATTTGTAAACAATTATAGTCATGAAATCCCAAAGGGTCATGTTTAATAACCCGTTTATCTAGTTCAAAGCCGACTGATTCTATCTTTTTCTTTGAACGAGGATGACACGAATACAAAATAGGCATATTATATTTTTCAGCCATCTTATTTACAGCATTAAAGAGAGAAAAGAAGTTTTTTTCTGTATCAATATTTTCTTCTCTATGAGCTGATAATAATATATATTTTCCTTTTTCTAAACCTAATTTTTTATGTATATCTGATGCTTCAATTTCTTTTAAATTCATATGAAGTACTTCTGCCATAGGTGAACCTGTTACATAGGTACGTTCCTTAGGTAATCCAGTATCTGCCAAGTATCTTCTAGCGTGCTCACTGTATGCCATATTTACATCTGATATAATATCTACAATACGACGATTTGTTTCCTCTGGCAAACATTCATCTTTACATCTATTTCCCGCTTCCATATGAAAAATAGGAATATGAAGTCTTTTGGCACCAATTACAGATAAACATGAATTTGTATCACCTAGCACCAAAACTGCATCTGGATTAGTTGCTGCCATAAGTTTATAGCTCTGATTTATAATATTGCCCATTGTTTCGCCTAAATCAGTACCCACAGCATTTAAATAAACGTCAGGTGCTTCTAATTTTAAATCATGAAAAAAAACGCCATTCAGATTATAATCATAATTCTGTCCAGTATGAGCTAAAATAACATCAAAATATTTTCTCGTCTTGTTAATAACAGCTGCTAACCTTATTATTTCTGGTCTAGTGCCCACAATAATTAAAAGTTTTAATTTTCCATTATTTTTTCCACTTTACATTATTATAATTCGTATCCATACATCTAAACCTCTTCTCTAAATGTATCTGGTCTATTTATATCAAATCTCTCATTACATATTATCACAGTGACTAAATTATCCGAATTACTAAGATTTATAAGATTGTGAGTCCATCCAGGTATCATTTGAACAGCCTCTAATTTGTCACCCGATACTTCATATTCTACTTTTTCACCTGTATTTATATTTCTTTCCTGTATTAGACCATGACCTGATACCACAATAAATATTTCCCATTTACTATTATGCCAATGTTGTCCTTTTATCTCACCAGGATAGTTAACATTAATACTAATCTGGCCTCTATCTATAGATTTAAAAATTTCTGTAAAAGTACCTCTAGTATCTGCATTAGTATAATAACTATATTTAAATTTTTCTTTAGGCAGATATGTTAAGTATAATGAATATAATTTTTTTTCAAATGAACCTTCCACCATCTTAGGCATCATCAATGTATTTGTGTATTCTTTAAATTCCTGCAACAAATCTATTATTTGACCTAAAGTTACTTTGTGAGACTTTAGTATACAACAAAATTTACCTTGCGAATTTAATACGGCTTCATTACCTGAATAATCACAATATAATTCCTTTCCTTCTAATAAGTCAAATAACCCTTCGATTAAATCATCTATATAAATTACCTCAAGCTCGGTATTTCTATCATTAACATGAAAATCTAAATTGTTAGCTATTGCATGACAGAATGTTGATATAGCACTATTATAATTTGGCCGACTATGCCCCATTACATTAGGAAAACGATAAACATACACTTTAGTATTAGTATCATCAGCATAAGAAAAAAATAAATCTTCCCCAGCTTTTTTTGACAAACCATAGTCGCTATTTTTAAATCTTCCTTCTAAACTTGCTTGAATTGAAGATGACAGCAT